CACTTTAACTTCTGTTAAAGTGGTGACTCGCTTAGTTCATAATAATTACAACAATATTCACTACCATTACTGTTTAGTTGTTTAACGTGAAACCACCAGTGGGTTCTCATTTATCCTTGGATGGGATAGTTTGAGTCCTCAGGCTATGCTGTTAATCAGACACATCTGTCAATCCCAACTTATCATTTTTAAACTTTCAGTGTTGTGAGTATGTGTATTTTCCCTCAAATCATAATCTTTCCCTAACTCCACGTAATTACCATGTAAGTGTCTAAAACTAACCAGCAAGTTTATAAAAAGGAAAGAAGCCAAACAACCACAGTGGTATACAAACCAACTCCAACCTCAATATATAGAAATGATGAATGGCTCAAGACCTTTGCACAATACTGTATGTTACTTGGATAGTGCGTTAAGTCATCGATGCCAAAGGCAGCCTTGTGTGTAACAGACAAAACAGCCTTATATTTCAGCTTGGAATGTGTGCTGCTGATAATGAAGACAAACATGATGAGTAACTCATAAAGCATGATTAATTACATACTTTGTTATAAAATATTCTTGTGGATCTTAACACTTATAAGACTTCAGGAGAAGAGAAAGTACAGCCTACTTCCTCCTTCACATACAGGGAGAAGCAGAGAGTGTTGAGAGGCTCTTGGCATCTAGTCTGATAACACCTGAAGCCTGGGCACAAAAGCCCAACAAGCCCAACAGAGGCTGTTATTCTTAAGGAAGCTGAAACAAGCACAGCTCCCCCAGAAACATCTGCAGCATCGTTACAAACAGCATCACGGTGTGGCACAGACGCTGTGCAGCTGCCGAGCTGAAGGACCTACGTATGGAGTAAGGTTGGAGCTCCCACATGTAGAAGATGTCTACGCAAACCATCTAAGGAAGAAGGCCTGAAGCAACAATCATTTCAGACATTTCACACCCCGCTCACCCTCTATTTGAACTTTTGCCATCAAGCAAACGATCAATTCAGGTTTTCCCCCTGAGCTGGGGCCTCCATCAACCCCCACCACACCACCATCCATTAACAGTCTAATATATTTCACCCTATATAATTATTCCCTTTGGAGTGATGATGTCTAGTTTTTACTAAATTTGTTAAATTTCTTTTTAATGGGTTTAGAAGAGATACCAGTCTATAACCTCTATAACAAATTCTATTCTATTCTATTAGTTAAATGTAGGTGCTACTTTGTGAGGTTTGCATGAATGCATGCATCATCATGTTATTTTATATCATTCTATCTTCAGTTTACTTCCTCCAGTTTTTTATTGCGCTACAATGAAAACGAATCCTCACCTGAAATATCTCTGAATCAGCACCTCCTCAAGGTCAGTGACAGAGACATATGTATTGAATAGACTAGCAAGTACACACAGTGTGAACACATTGGGTTTTTTGTTTGTTTGTTTGTTTGTTTTGTCCACTGGACGTCAAATAATAGGCAATGCCAAAGCAGATAATAAACATTTTGTATCTAGATTAAAGCATACTACCTTAAACAGTGTGCTTAATATTTGCATACAAATCTACATAAAGTTATATCTAAAGTTGCAGGCTTTCATACCATTAAATAAGCAGTACAGGGATGTGAATAATCTCCTGTCCTGTTCATGCATAAATCCAGATTGGCGGTAGAAGGCTTCTGCTTAGCTTTTTCATTTGCACAGAGGAGGGTTTTGCAACTCATTGTATCTTGTTTTACTCGAGCAGCATAGATGGAAAATGTTCTCAGGAAGAGGTGCCAGGGGAAATTGAGTAATAGTGATACAAAGAGAGGCTGGGAAATTACTGTAGCTCTCAAGTGCATGTATCTCACTGAAGAAAGAGAGGGAAAGAGTTGGCGGGAGATCAGACATTCAAGCTAGTGCAGGGGATCAGGTGTCTCCGTGCAGGGCTAAAACAGACAGTCAGACTCAGCTGAATCCATCCTGCCATATCTGAAATTTGTTAGGTTACGTGTATGTCAGTGGTTTGGTTGTAAGCGTGTGCCACAGTTGCTTGTCTACATGTCAGACTGTAGCAGTTGTTCCCACTCACTTCACAGTGGAACTTACGGGCCAAAGTTAACCACAGCAGCTGCCGAGTTTGGCTCTGTCATTTCCACTAATTATTACTCACTGTATCCCTGACAAGGAACTCTGAAGGCTCGAGTCTTATCAAAGCAAATAAATTAGTTAGGTAAACAGTAAGCAGTGAGGAGATTATTTAATGGGCTTGCCAGGAGTGGTAATGGGCCCACAGGAAACGCTTTCCTGTGAGTCTTTGTTGTAATTAGTGTACAGGGTGATTAGTGCATTTATTTAAAGCAAACAAAGTTTATATTGTTTTTTGTGTTAAATAAGTTAAATAACTGTATGAAAATATAGAAATTCATGCAGCTAATACCAAACAGAAGTAAGCTAGTTACACAGTGTCTGCATCAGATGCAGGTGAGCAGTATTACCTCCTTCAGTAGAGCTGTTTAATCTGGTTCTCACGCTGTTTATAACCTCCTGTCCTGTTTTTTTGTTCAGGCTTCAGTGAAAGTTATTTCCTGTTTTATTTTGGTAGTCTCTTGTCTTGTGTGCCTTGCATTGAGTTAATTTCCTTTGTCTTGTTATCCCTGATTTGTTCCCACCTGTTTTTCCCTAACCTCATTACCCTGTGTAGATATTGTCAAGTCTCCTCTCGCCCTCTTTGTTTTCCTGAGATCCGTTGTTTTCGGAATGCTAACACGTTGTCAGCTACAGTTTTTTAAAGAGTTCGGAATAAATCCTGCTTTTGTGCCAACATCTTGCCCCCGACACTGCCGCACTTTGACAGCTAGATGATATTTTTGCTTTTTGACAACTGTGTTGTTCAGTTCAAGTGAAACACTATATTTGAGTTCCCACAGTTAGTCGTACTTTGTTTTGTGGTCAACTTTCTGTGGTGGATTGACAGATTTTAGCAAAGGATGTCCAAGTTGGCAACAAAAATGAAAACAATAAAAAACACACGGTTTGAACAGTTGGAATCTGCTCAGTTTGGCAAAGGTTTAGTCTCGAACAAATGCTTTCTACTGTGATGTTGTATCGGACAAACGTAGGATGTCTAATTATTTAAAGTGTCTCATTCTTCTTCTTCTTCTTAATAATAATAATAATAATAATAATACATTTCATTTACAGGCACCTTTAAAGGCCTTCAAGGTCGCCTTATACAACAACAAAATAAAAAACAACTATAAAAGTGAATCGAGGTAAAAATAGATCAAGTCATGATGAAGGGTGTACAGTTCTGAATAGATGGGTATTAAAACATGATTTTAAAGCAGAGAGAGTTTGTAGCCTGGAGATCTGGTGGAAGTGCATTCCAAGGTCTCGGGAGTCTCTTAAGTAAGGTCTTAATGATGCCTCAAGGTCACAGCGGAGACCTTGAGAGGAAATCTTGTTTGATGCCTCATAATTTGCTACAGGATGTCCCTTGGCTACCTGCAGCACAGTAATTTCCCTTGCTAAAGGAAATTAAGAGAATCTTCATTAGAAATGTCTTATGTACCAACACAATCCATTTATGACTCTGCTGGACTTTAATTTCTTTCTAAACACATTTGTGTCTAGCGTACCAGTGACACCTCTTTCTTGGCATTGAGCAGGAAAGCTGCAGAAAATCCTTGAACCCCACCTAAAAGCTTTTAAAATGGTTCCAGGATGAAGCTTTTTAAAACCTGCAGGTGTTTCGGAAGCATGAGGCCAACCAGCCGTGTGCTTGCCCTAACTTAATCTCTGCATGAAACCTCGTGAGTCCACAGCACCAAGCCGCTCGCAGATGACGCCTCCCTCGCTGTGCCCATCGACTGCAGCTCTGCCCTGCTGCAAATCAATACTGCTGGGCTACAGTGAGAGAAGAGCGCTGATGAATGAAGGGAGTAGGGGAGCCCCGCAGGGAGGTACCGAATCAAGGCAGGACGGCTTAAGATGGGGAAAGAACAAATGGACAGAGGAGTGAAGAAAGTGACAAATTAAGAAGCATGACGAAAGAGATGGAAACAGACAGGAGTGGTGGACGAGAGTAAAGGGGGGAAGGGAGGGAGTACAAAAGGGTGATTAATAGTAAAACGAAGTTGGGGTGATGTGGGGAAGGAGAATGGGAAGATGAATACAACTGCAGCAACAGAGGCAAAGAATGACTTCTCCTTTAGAAGGTAGGCAGAGACAAAGGGAGAGCAAGAGCGCCACCCACAGGGGACGAAGAGAGGAAGGAGGACAGAAAGAAGGGAGAGGTTAAAATGAGAGAGGACTGAGGGGGAGAGGCGGCGGGAGAAAGGAAGTATCCCAGCAGGGTTTTCCGCAGGGTGAACTCAGCCATAGTGCAGAGCTGAGCAGTAGGTCCTGAATTATTAAACAGAATATTTTGCAGCTGAGCAAACGGCCGCAGCCATGTCGGATGTGTCTGCCGAGAAGGCAAGGGTCGTGTTTTTGTTTGTGTGCGGAGATCGAAATTTAGCTCGAGCTCTTTGGTTAAAGGTCTTAATTTTGGATACTTTATGTAGATGTGCTTTTAGAGTTTGGTGTGTGTGTGTGTGTG